TGCAGATCTTGTATAATAGTAAATGAATTGAATAAAAATGGAAAATGATAGTGAAAAGTGAATAAATTAAGCAAAAATGGAAAATGATAATATATAAAGGGCAGATAGAAGTTAGATAATCTGTAGTGCTTGATTCTTTTGCTGCCCAATTAATATTTGACTTTATAGTGTATAGCCTGCCCGGCCTTCCCCAAAAAAAAAGTAAAGAAAAGAAAAAAAAAAGAAGCAAGAAGAATAGAAAGAAGCAAGAATAGAAAAGTTGGTAGATGCTTGCAAACCTGCTTATCAATGTGCTCAATGATGGGCTTTGTAACTCCAAAAAAAAAAAAAAAAAAAAAGGTGAGAAATAAGAACAAGAGAATTGTTTTTGGGATCAATGTACCTTCGCATAGGCATTTCTTAAAAAATTCAAATACCTTGATTTGAGCAGTAATAGTGTATATACTAAAATGAATATATGTATATATATATATATATATACCATAGCGCACTGACCAAAGTACCCCCCTTTTTGCGTACCCCCCACTCAAAATACCTGAATACTTTGTATAGCATTTTTTTTAACCGTGGATAATACCCAGGTATTTTGCATGGCATTTTCATGTTAACACATATTGATTTCCGCATTACATATATAAGACCATACAAAATACCCCCATACAAGATACCTGTCATCGTCAAGATACCCATGGGTACTTTATAAGATTTTTTTGGTTAGATTGTATTGGACCCCAGGTACTTTGGTCAGTGCATTGCAGTACTTGGATACCATAAAAACCACAACATATCTTTCGATAATCTTTAATTTTTTGTCACATAAGCAGCATGACCTGCAGCACAAGGCACTACTCCCATCATGTTTCTTCTTCGTTTTTCTAATAAATAATCTGAGTGAGAATAAAATGCAGATCTGTGATTGGATAAAAATAATTTTTAGTCAATCATGTATTGGCATTTTTTTTTCTAGATTTCTGATTCCCAGTGTGATATATGAAAATCAGTGGACACAGTAATTTGAAAAGCGCGATAAAATAAATTAAGAAATCTGCTAATGCCACCCCCTATATAGTCTAACTATTATACTAAATTTTAGTTATACGATTTGTATAATAAAAATAATAAATTAAATTATAATATTAGACTAACTCTAACCCTAAATCTAACTTAGTTTAAAGTTAGGGTTAGAAATAAAGGCTAGCTAAACTATTTGGGGGTGGCATCAGCAAAAATAGGGGGTGGCATTAGCAGGTCATTTTCATTTAATTGTATCAAGTGAGTATTAGAGATCAACTAAAATAATCATAGATATTTACTGTAGAAGTGGAAACAACAATTATACGGCAGCAAGTTTCTTTTACCAGCGTTAATGTCATTCGCACAGTAGCAGCACATGGGAATGACATTAGCTTCATTGAAAAAAATGGAAATCGATATTTTTTTTCATTTACCAATATTGTGCACTTAGATAATTACTTGACGGATATATCGCATATCGATACTAAAATCAGCGTGAAAAAGTAATCAGTTGAAGGGTAGAGTAATCGGTTAGGCGCAAATTCATCATGTGATTTTATCTAGCTGTCAAGTTTATAATTACTTCCTTTTTTAGGTTTTAGTTCTTGATTTGCACGATTACGTCTCGCAGCTATCTAGTTTAATCTGAAAAAAATTCTTTATTTGTTACAAAATGGAAAGTTTCACATTATAATTTTATCTGTTAATTTATAAAAAGTGTAATGTAATTGGGAAAATATATAGATCGCTAAATTGATATGAATAAATTGAATCTAATGAAAATACAATGGCTATTACAAATTGCACCCCTTCCAAACTAGTAATTAGATATGATGAGCAGCGAAATATCAATTATTGATAATGAAATATTCTTATTTAAATTAATTAATATGTCTCGTAAAAATCAAGTAAAAACTAAAAGAAGCACAAAATATTTCGTACATACTGCATACGGTAAAGTATGTACATAATGATAATTATTTTATCTTATATTCAAAATGAGTCAACCAATTATAGTAAATTCTAAAAAAGGTTCGGTAAACTGGAATTGCTCAATAAACTTGATTATTATCTAATCGGCTCAGAAAATCGACCATCGATTGTGGTTTTTAGAATCGATCCCCATCCCTATTTATGACTTTTTTTGCTGTGTTTAATTTCAGGTCGTAATTATCTATAAAGAATGGTAATTTTATAGTGAGAGAGCAAATAATAGTTATATCTTGGCAATTGAATACTGTGTATGTGCCGGCAGCTCTAGCAACCGATACTTTTTTAGTAAAATATTATGAAATGATCGTACCCGGGTTTATTAATTTTCCCACCACTTCGCCATTGGAAGTATCATAAAATTGATTAATAAGGTAGATACTCCGATAAATGAATAATTAGTAGAACCAATCAGAGTGGTAGGAACGTAAATAAGTTAGTCGTAATGGTATTTTTAGGATAACTTTCTTCTGATTGGTCAATCACTTTCAATTGTATTTATACAGTTCAAAGCACTTTTTAAGAATATAATATTCCATAAGTAAAAAAATAAAAATTAAACCCGTCTCTATCTTCGAAGAAATACTAACAGTTACTATGCAATTTCTATGTATATTGTAACTATAGAACTATGTAATTACTCAACCATTAAATATAGCTGAGTTATTGAAGAAAAAACTAATAGTGCAAACTTTTTTTAAAAATCGATAAAGCGATTTATAAAATACTAATGAAAGTTACACTATCGTGAAACTTAGAATTTTATTTTAAGTAGCAATTCGTAAAATCAATAGTAAATTTAAAAGGTTTTGCAGATTTTTGCGTTATGTGCGGTCACAGCAATTTGAAAAGTACAATGATTCGTATATTGTATTGTAATTTATTGTAATTAGTATTCTTAAAATTTCAAAAGGTGTTTTAAAAAAAATAAAAATAAAATAAATAAAATTGAAAATAGAAAATATTTATTTAAACAAATCAATAATAAAATAAATAAAATAGAAAATAGAAAATAATTAATTAAATAAATAAATAAATAAAATAAGGAAGAGAATGGGGAAAACAGAAATCCTATACTATTCAATGTAATTTTATGGGTGCTTTTATCTATTTTTTTTATGTAGAAAAAAGCATTATTCAATTTTAATTTATTTTGATTCGAAAACAAGTCTAAGATTCCCATCGATATTTAGCTATACCAATAATCAGTTCCTGTGTATTACTAGGTGCAGGATCAGGAAAGCGGGAATGAAGAAAAATTTTGAAAATTTTATTTATAGGCAAGAAATTTAGTTTATTTGCAAATAAATTGTAAATTTAGAGATTTTTAGTGTAAAAAGCGCGATAATTTAGGAAAAAAAATTCTTTTCATTTTTTGAATTTTTTATATTTACATTAAATTTACAAAAATTTACATTCTCAGATGATACATAAAATATGAAAAGCACGATAAACATAGTTCAAATGCAAACACTACGTATTGATAATCATCGGTATTTTGTCTATGTTCCTGTACGAGTTAATCAGTGATTGAGCTCGGAGTTCAATGATTACAATACACAGATCATTAATTGAGAAGGACTAAGATGAGGCTGAACCAACGTGAGGTTAATTAGTATTTGAAGCCCGTCAATAATTACCGTAAATGACCGGATAGAAGACGCTGGTCTCTTACATTCCACCGATTTTTAAAACCTATATATAGTATATGGTTGAAAGTATACATCATTAAAAGGAGAATTTTAAAGAGCACGCGTATTTTTCATTTCTAATGGGCAGTTTAGATATTTGAAAAAAACTATTTTATTAATGCAGGTTCTGTAATTCGCATCCGAGTATAGTACATAGTGGATCTGGTGTTGTGAGGGATCTTTTATCCGGCCATTACGGTAGTAATCATAAAAATACTAATTGACCTCACTTTGAAACCAACCTTATGTTGATTCCTTACAATACTTGATCACATCAATTTTACAGGGGCTGAGTTCGATAAGGTGGAAGATTATCAAATTCACTTACCGTATTCTATCGTAAATAAGCATTATCCCCCGCTCTATTTTTTAAATGTCAGATTAGCTGAAATTGTAAAATAAGATCTTTAGCCAAGTTATTCCCGCTAATTTGACATTTAAAAAAATGGGTAGAGGAGATGGTGCTTATTTACGGTAGAATACGTAGTTCTTTTTGTCCTAATGATTTTAGTTATTAAAGAGAATTTCGACTTTTCTATTACCTGTTACCGTATTTTCGCGTAATAACGCTCATCTGCGCGTTTTTTGAATATACGCGCGTTATTTAGAGTACGCACATGAGTGTTATTTTGAAAAAAAATATATATATAACAAAAAAAAATGTTCCGGAACTAGGTTTGGTACTAAGCCAACCTACTTTTAAGTTTAAATAAAAGTTGTTCTTCAGATTGGGACAATTCTAATGGTAAAATCATCAAAAACGGTTCAGCAATAGCCCTTCAAATTTTTATAACGTTTGTTTATCTTTGTTTACACGATATGCATATCATGTAATAAAACTTTGAAGAGCCATCGTGGAGAACTATTGGAACATTATTGATGATCTTACCACCATTAGAATCTTCCCAATTTGACGAACAACTTTTATTAAAACTCCAAAGTATGTTTACTTAATACCAAACCTAGTTACGAGGCATTTTTTTTAATTGTAACTATAAATAAGCACCTCTTACTATAGATGGATTCCATGTTATTTTTAGTGCGAAAACACAGACCAAAATGTTATTACGCCATATATACCTGGTCCGCTTTCAAAAATAACTACCCAAATTGTGCGATTTTTAATATCGATATTGGTAATGCAAAATTAGTAAACATGCATTAATAATCCATGCCTATATTAGTAACGATGACAATTTAACATTAAAATTATTTATATATAGTCAATAAAAATCTTTTTTTTTAAAAAATCTTTTTCATTGCCAATCGTCTTTAATTTGATACAAAAAAACAACTATTCGTAAAATGACTACTGCCGCTAAATCTTCTAGTAGCATTTTAAATTTTGCTTCTAAAGATGGAGAGTTTCGAAGGTACGTATGTATTTACTGTAAGACTAAGATTGATAAATTTCTATTATTCACAACTGTTTTTCAATTAAAGAAAGCCTTCGACTTTTCGTAATAAGATTAGTATAGATGATGCGACTTTTAAACCCGAAAAGTTAGTTGAATGCATTGGTGTTTTTAGCATTTAGCGTTTGGACGTGATTGATTATTTAAATTGTATCTATAATTTAGGGATCGTTATCATTTGTACATTAGTTGGTCTTGTCCATGGGTACGTTCATGTTCAATTTTTTTTTTTTTTTTTAATGAATGAATTAAGTTTTTGTTTGTTATCATCCTCTATTAATAGGCCCACCGAACTGTCATCGTACGTGCATTGAAAGGTCTTGAAGAAGTTATTGGATTGAGCGTTGTTGATCCCTTTTTGGGTGAGGGAGGGTGGAAATTTAGCACTCCCGAAGAAACTCCTGGATGTATTCCAGACACTGTAAATAATGCTAAATATATTCGAGAATTATATTTTAAGGCTAATCCTGACTACGATGGAAGGTCTGAAACCAAAAATTCGTGCATATACTTATATTCTTAAACATAGTTTTTTTATATAACTTCAAATAACAGAAATATTATATTTAGATACACTGTTCCTGTTCTTTGGGATAAAAAATTACAAACAATTGGTAAAATATCGAGATTATTATAAACTTAGAACAAGGTCATTCAAAAAATAACTCAACCTTTGCTATTATAGTCAACAATGAATCCAGTGAAATAATCCGCATTTTTAACGATGCGTTCGATGAATTTGTCCCAGAAACAAAGGGCAAAACTTTTTACCCAAAACATCTTGAGAGCGAAATTGATAACATAGATAGTTGGGTTTATGACAAAATTAACAATGATGTTTATAAATGTGGTTTTGCAACAACTCAAGATGCTTGTGCGTATAAATATTTATATATTTATATATTTATTAAATTCATAGAATTAATTATTTGCATTTTCATCAACAGATAATAACCATATTGGAAATCTTTTTGAAGCTTTGGATAACGTGGAAGCTATTCTTTCTAAAAATGAGTTTCTTGTTGGAAACACCTTTACTGAAGCAGATATCCGACTTTGGCCCACTATTATTAGGTAATGTACATTTTGAAAATTTTCAGGTTTTCATGATTTATGAGAAACACAATAGTTACATATTCAAAATTCATACATAGATTTGATCCAGTTTATCATACGCTTTTTAAAACAAACTTGAAATCGATTAAATGTGACTATCCAAACATTCTTCGCTGGGCTAGGCAAATTTATAAAATGCCTAAAAGTAAATCATTAAATTTTTGTTTATCAAATCATATTGATTAAATGTATACTAATAACCAATCTTAATTTTCTTTAAGTTGCTGATACCGTTAATATGACACACATTAAAAATGGTTACTTCCAAAGCCAAAAGCAAACTAATCCATATGGAATTGTTCCCATTAGTAATGGACCCGGTATGTAAACTTTTTTGAATCACAAGATACTAGCCTAATCAATAATATATTTCTAATAATAATAATTTTCATATAATTTATATCGTTTCTATTATCAGCTCTTGACTTATAAGGTGATCCTCGGTTTGGTTTTACAAGTGGTTTGTGAAGAATGGAATTTTTGTATAAAAATGCGTTTTATATTTTAATTGCTCGGTATTAATATGTAGCAAACTTTAATTGTATCTTATTATTCTTATTAAGTTGTATAAAATCCTTTTGTTTAACATTGAGATATAAATAAATTTAGTAAATAAAATATACTTTAACAATTGAACCTTACAATTACTTAACGAGTAATAAATTAATTAAAAATTGTTGTTTAAACAACTGTTCATGGTTCAAAATCATGTGTATAAATTTTTTTTTTGTAAATGCTATAGTTGAAACTTTATTTAATAAAGTAGAAAGTAATCTACATTTAAAAGATTTCAAACTACACTTGTGCTACTAAGAAAGCACCCAATGTGACATTATACCCTCTAATTTTCTATATAATGCTATTGTTAATTATTTTTTTAAAATAATTATATAGCTAAAATGGATTAGAGGAAACCTAAAGTATATATCATATTATTAAAAAATACAGTTAGTTAAAGAAAAACCTTGTATAAATGATTTTTTTATAAGGAAAGAAAAATCTGTTTGAGGTAAATTAGACAATAAACTAGTTGCTAAAGAAGGCATATTTGGTAAAATATATTTAGTTTGTTTAGTTTTAGCAGTAATATTTTTAACTTGTTCTCATTAGTGTTGTAAGATATTATGTATAGTTCATATTTCATCATGAAATCAATTTAGAAGATTATTAGATAGAAGAATAAGAAATTGTTTAGTTTGTTTAGCAATGTATGATTTAATGATTTCATTAACAGTTAAGGGATAAATGCCAGTAATGTAGTATAAGAAAAGGTTGTAAAGAGGGTTAAAAAAATTAAGGGTAAACCAAAGAAGGATATTAAGAATTATAATTGAAGATGTAGTTGTAATTTTAAAGGAGGCAAGTGAATTAGTAATTATATTTATTAGAGATTGTTGGATTTTGATGTTATTGTTAGAACAGAAGTGAAAATGTAATGTATCTTTCAGATTGGAACATCGAATACAGTTTGGTGCAGGGTATAGATAAGGATATTAAATATTTAGATTTTTTATAGTTGAAAGATTGTTAGAATTTTAATTTTTAGGAAATATTTGGATGGGTTATTGTTGAGAGTTTAAAATATCAAACATAAAGTTCATTGGATATTGAATATATCTTTAAATATTTTAAGTGAAGACCAGGAATATAGTTCTTGTATTGTATAAAAATTTTTAATAAAAGTCTGAATTTTAAAAGGAATTAAGTAGTTTTCTATTAAAAGTAATTTAATAAATTTATATAATTATAGAGATTCTAAGTATAAGTTTGTTTGCTTCTTATTCAGCAAGCTAATTTGTTTGATTATATAAAAAATTAGAGTGCAATTAGATTTTATAAAGGGTAAATATAAGATTTTTAATAGATTTAATTTTGTTAATAATAAGTAAGATATCTCAGTTTTGGTTTTGTAAGGGTTTAATATATAGTAATATATTTGTTTTAAGTTTTTAATTGCTATTTTATTGTCTAAATGAATATATATAGATAATTGCAAAAAAAAAGAGATGATTGCTTCAAGCTCAATATATGTTGTGTTTGGATAAGGGGTAGTAGCTTTATTAAATTTAAAAGAAATATTGCTTTTACAAATTTAGCTAATTTCAGACTTTATATTTAGTAATTGTAAATTCTGAATTGATATTAATATAAAAAAGTAAAGCTTTTGAGAACTAAGATTTTGAATAAAAAAGTGAAGATTAATAAATTGATTTTGGTATGTAGTTGAATTAATTATATCATATGGGTTTGTTCCTTAAAAATGACCTTACAGGACATAGTAAAGCATATGATCAAAACTTGATTTTCAAGAAACAGACCCCATATATTAACTGTATATTCTGTATATAGATATTAATTTGTGGTATTAGTTGAAGCGAGTTTGTAGTATTTATAAAGTCAAATACAGTATATTTAAATATAAATATCTCTTGTAGTCTATTTGAATATAAAGTAGTTTATTTAAGAGTTAATTTATATATTAATACAGGTTAAATAAAGCTATATCAGGAGTATATATATCAAATAAATATTAGAAACATAACAGAATTCAATATGTCACCAATATTAGTTATTAAAAATCATAGGGCTATTAGTATAATTGATAGAGTTATCTGATAGGCCTATTGAAATATTTATAAATATCCTAATATGTTTAAAGAATATAGATAAAAAATTGGTAAAATATCAAATAAGTGTAAAACTATCAATTTAAACTGATATTTCTCCAATTTTTATTTAGTTAGATTAAACTACATAGCATATATTATTATATATCAGGAACAGAGTGATATTGAAAATTTTATATAGTGTATAGTTATATAGCAAATTAAATACTATTGTATACAAAATCTTACATCTTATTAAGTATATATATATATAGCAAAGCAAAGCATATTAAAACTTCGTATATTACTTCTTCGCATTCGAAGTAATACTTGCTTTTATATTTTGTATCACAATATAGTAATTTATTTTTTCTCATAGTTATTTGATCTTGATTGCTGTTATCATTATACCATTCTGTATATATAGATGATTCTGAAAATTTGATTTCTATTTCTATATTATTGATTTTGATCTAACTGCAATTACCTATAAAAGAATGCTTATAAAATCATATAATTTGCATTTACTCTATTTAGAGCTAAACAAGTAATCATATAGTTCACAGTTTAAATTCTTTTTTATTTTATTAAACATTTAAGTCTAACTATCAATTTTTTACATTTCTAGTTTTGCACTGCTATATTAACAAATTTTATTAGTAAAATTTATTTAGATTATATATATTTTATTAGGCAATTTTTATTAGTCAAATTTTATTAACAAATTTTATTATATATTTATTATATATTTTTTAAATTTTATTATATTATTTATATTATTATTGTATATTTTATAGTATTATTAGTTTATTTATATAGTTTATAACATATTTTATTTATTTTAGTCACTCAAATGATAGTTTATTATTAACTTTATTAGGATAGTTTTCACAAAATTCCATTTAAAGCAATAGTTATTTAATTATTTAATTTATTAGTTTGTTTAATGTAAACAGAACTCAGACCAAATTACCCAAACACAAATGGTACCCCAGAACAGCCCAGAACGATGTAACAACAACATTAAGGATAAACAAAGTCAAACAAACCTAAAATAGCAAAAGTGCCCTTGCTATATCAAAAGGTGCCTATCCTATATTAAAAAGTGCCTATCCTATATTAAAAGGTGCTTATCCTATATTAAAAAGTGCTCTTGCCATAGTAAAAGGTGCTCAATCTCTAATTTTAATCGTTCTAAGGTGCCCATCCACTATTTGGAAGTGCCCATCCACTATCTAAAGGTGCTCATGCTATAGAAAGTGCCCTTCCATTAATAAAAGGTGTCTTTCCTTAATTAATTACTATGTTCTATAATAAATTAATATACCAGAAAAAGATATATAAACCCTGCCTTTTTCCCCAAAGCAAGAGGACAGTTGGTCCCTATATTTTGGTCGCTATTATCTTGTTATTATATACTTTGGTCTTGGGAATAGGTCCCATTTTTATTTTTGTTATAA